AGGGGTAGGTTTAGGGGTAGGGTTGGTGTAGGGCAGTAGCACATACAGTTTGTACAGTATAAAAACCATTACGCCTATGGAATGTCCCCATAACGTGATGAATACACAACATGTGTGTGTGTGTGTGTGTGTGTGTGTGTGTTTCCTCTCAGATGGACCAATCCTCCGGTGGCCTGTCCGCTCGATCCCTGTATTGTAACTGTAATGAAGCCTTATATTTCTAACCCAGTCCTGTTGTTTTCAATGACCTTTTTGATATCGTATGTTATCAGCTTTTATGTAGGAACTGAATTGTCATTTTTGGATGATATCAGAAGCGTAGGCTGGAATCATATCCCAGTCTCTCTTTTTTGTTTTTGTAATTTTACATTCTCTAGTCACTCATGTACAATTTAAGTCATGTTACTATCTTTTTATTGTCCTTTATTTAAATAAATCTTCTGGTCCTGTAATAGAAATAATGTACAGTCTAAGTACTTATGAACAATTTTTATCACAGTATTATTTATTGCTTTCGTTTCAATAAAATACTGAAACTTATTTTCCACTGCCAATAAAAATAAGTCTTTATGAACAGATGATTTTCCTGTAGCTTTTGTTATTTGCTATCCAGATTCAGTTTATAAATCTCAAATTCAAGTTACTTAGACATATGATTATTGTATTATTTTAATTGCATGATTAAAAGTCATTACCATTTTAAACAATGTAACCAGAATGGCTTCAATTCATCTTTTCTTTTCTTCAGCCTGCATCACAAACTCACTTTTTATTATTAATATGAAGTATACATCATAAAAACCTTTAGAGTGAAAGCTGATTTGACACAGAAGGATGTCTTCCAGGAGGCTGATTGACTGCAGCTGGGTTCTTGATAATGAATGGTTAATGGAAGTGATTGCAGATGGTCTGCAGGATGGATCATGTGTTGTTCCTCTCTCAGCTCAGCTCCAGCAGTGATGGACTCTCAGCAGGTGAATATTCCCATCAGTCTGTTTGTGTTCAGAAATCAGCAGACAGTCTCATTCTCCTCAAACCTTCACAAGTCACATTCACTCAGTGGAGCTGAAGCTAGTCACTTCGTCATAATTCTGTCTGTATTTGCTTGCTGCAGTAGATGAAGCTACAGAGGAGACTGTGACACTTTTTGCAATAATGGCTGTAGTTTAGTGACCAGTGTTGCAGGTAACGTGAGTTACTTAATCAGATTTTTTTTTTTTCAAGTAACTAGTAAAGTAACTTTTTTTTTTTTTTAATTTACATGAAAATATCTGAGTTACTTTTTCAAATCAGTAACATAGTTACTTTGTTTCCGTGTATTGAGTGACAGCTCTGGTGTTGCCATGGTGACAGAAATCAGGAGTAAGTGCAGAGCGTTGTGTGTGAACATGATCTTACTGTAGTTCTAGACTAAATATCAACATGTGTTTACTCATCTCACTGCACACAAACACATTCAGTGTTCATCAAAATGAATGAAAACAGTCAAATGCAAACTCAGAATATAATGCAAACCTGCAATAATTAATGTAAACAAACAAACAAACAAGCCCAGGCCAGACGAGTAAAAGTAACGCAACAATAATAATAATTGTGCCTGTGTCCAAATATGTATGGACCTAACTGTATATGTAATATATATTTATATATGTTAATGATTTGATGTTTATTGTGAAGTGTTTCTGCTGTTATGTACAGAAATGGTTGTTTCATAATCATGTACAGTGCTTTGCGAAAGTATTCTATACTCTTATTTTTTTCACTTTTTGTTATGTTGTAGCCTTATGTTAAACTGCTTTAAATTACTTTTTTCCACATCAGTCTACACTATATACACCATAATGACAAAGCAAATAAGAGGTTTTTAACATCTTTGCAAATTTATTAAAGATACTTTGATTCCATTGCATACATATTCATGTCCTTATCTGGGAAAGTTTAAATTTAGCTCAGGAGCACTAATATTGCTTGTAGATGTTACCACACTTTGAGTGAAGTTAACCTGTGGCAAATTCAATTGAATGGCTATGATTTGGAAAGGCACACGTCTTAATAAAAGGTACAATAACAGCTGCTGAAAATGCATATTAGAGCAAAGACGAAGCCCTGAGGTCAAAAGAACTGCCTGTAGAGCTCAGAGACATGTTTGCATCAAGCCACACATCTGTGGAAGAGTTCAGAAAAACAATCTGCTGCATTGAAGGTTCACAGAAGCATGTAGTCTCTGTTACCCTTAATGAAAGACGTTTGGAACAACCAGGACTCTTCCTAGAGCGGGCCTCCTGGACAAACTGAGCAACTGATGGAGAAGGGCTTTGGTTAGTGTGGTGATCAAGAAGCTGATGGTCACTCTAGTCGAGCTCCATGATCATATGTGGAGACAGGAGAAACCTACAGAAGGACAAACATCACTGCAACACTCCACCGATCTGAGGAGAAGACTCAATCCTCTCCTCAGTGAAGACATGAAAAAACACCTAAAGGACCCTCAGACTGTGAGAAACAAGAGTCTCTGGTCTGATGAACCTGATGTTTGAAGGAAAGCAGCTCCGCTCATCACCTGCAGAGTACCATCCCAAAAGTAAAGTGTGCTGGAGCCTCATGCTGTGGAGCTGTTTTTCAGCGGCAGGGACCGAGGAACTCATCAGAGAAGAAGATAAGCTCAATGCACCAAAATATAGAGATGAAAACCCAGTCCAGAGCATTCAGAACCTCAGGCTGGGCAGAAGCTGGAGAAACCTGTGTGTCTGCCCTCATCCAACCTGACAGAGCTCGAGAGGTGAAGAGGTGAGGAGAGGAATGGTGGATAATAATTGCCAAATGCTGATGAGCAAAGCTTGTCGCATCAAACAAAAAATACTTGAGGCTGTAAAGGTGCTTCATCTAAGTACTGATTTGAATGCTTCCAACAGGACAATGAACCTAAACACACAGCAAGAGTGGCTTATAGACAACTCTGTGAATGTCCTTGAGTGGCCCAGCCACAGCCTGAGCTTGAACCCAATCAAATATTTCTGGAGAAACCTGTGTGCCTGCCCTCATCCAACCTGACAGAGCTCGAGAGGTGAAGAGGTGAGGAGAGGAATGGTGGATAATTGCCAAATGCTGATGAGCAAAGCTTGTCGCATCAAACAAAAAATACTTGAGGCTGTAAAGGTGCTTCAGCTAAATATTTAGTTATACTTATGAAATGTACTTATTTCAGGGTTTTTTTTTTATATAAATGTTCAAAGTTGTGACAGTTCTGTTTTTGCTTTGTCAGTATGGTGCATGGAGTGCAGATTGATGTTGGAAAAAAGTAATTTAAAGCAGTTTAACATAAGGCTGCAACATAAAACATGAAAAAAAACAAAGGGGTTTGAATACTTTCGCACTGTGTATCCTGTGGTTTGAAACAGTTCAGTAGCTTTATGTTTTTTGCTGCTTTCTAAGAGACATCGATCTGAAACATAACCTTCTTTATCATCATTGAAATATCGCTGGCTGTCCTTTGGTGCGGATTGAAGTTCTAATCATGTATTGATTTCTGCTCTCCTGAAGGGGGCAGCAGCATCTGACCTGCTGACCTTTGCATTTATTCTTTGAGATGGCGATGGTGACGGATGAGCTAGAATCACCCATTATCAGCCCAAACCAGCGCCGTTTCACTGCTGATGTCAAATGATGTGGAAAACAGGAGCTGAGTGAGTTTATGACGTCCAGCAGCGTGTGTTTGATCTGCTGAAATGAGCGCAAGTCAAACGCAAACCAATGCGCATTCCATACACGCAGAAAGTTCCTTTTAAAAGTAACGTTAATGTGTTGCAATATTGTGTTACTCGCTAAAAAATAACTAATTGCATTAGTTATTTTTTATGGAAAGTAACATGTTACATTACTTTTGCTCATCTGGCCTGGGCTTGATTGTTTGTTTTTAATGTAAAAGCCCTTTGACACCAAAGGTGAAATGAATAAGCCTCAGACTGAAGGAAATAAATACATTTTTGTGTTAACATTTAATTATTGCAGGTTTGCATTTGACATTTTTCTTTT